AATTTTTAATATTTTTTTGGGAGGGGGTGGGGGTAGGGGTGAAAGTAGGGTAAAAAAATTGAATTCAAAAACAAGTTTTAAAATTATTATATTTTTTTGGGTGGTGGTTGGGGGGGGCTGGTTTGAGGGTAGGGACAAAATAAATTAATTTTTTCAACAAAAAAAAATAATTGTAATTTGAAGTTTTGAAGTTGGAAGGTAGTTTTGGAAAATGTTTTCCTTAAGTTTTGAAGGGAAGTCATTTTCCTTAAATTTGAAGAAAATGAGTTGATTTGGAAAACATTTTCCAAAACATTTAACCCAACCAAATATGAGAAAATTGGAAAACATTTTCCTTCATAACAAACACACCCGAAGACTTTGTTGCTGGAGAAGTGTAAAGGAAATATTATGCTCAAGTCAATTCTTACCTCTAGCAAGGTATTTGAAGCCAAAAATGGCCAAGAGGATCCATTTTTTAATGCTAAAGCTAATTTGAAAACAGAAATTATGTGTACTTGATAAGACAGGTTCAGGAAAGGTACAAGCAAAAAACTAGATGTGGAAGAGAACAATATGCTTATGAGAAGAGTGCAGCGTGTATTAATTCTACATGTAGGCAATAGGAACTGAGCCAGTACTTTTTCATTATCTTTGTGTAATCTTGAAACTATATATTAATTATATATTTGAATATAATTGGTTTGTGTAAGGTTTAAAATTGACTTGAATGTCTGCTTGACACGAGAGGATAAATTTTACCAATTCACAGAAAGCATCCGAGATTTTACACATGTACATTATTCTACCATGATTAATGTGTGAGAGAGAGGGCATCAAGTTTTGCACCTACCAAAATATAGCAAATGCAGTTTTAAATATCTCAAATGTTGGGCCTTGGGCTGTGCTAAGCACGGGCCTTGCCCCTCTAGTTATTACTATATAGAAACGTGAAAGAGATGGACGACCAATGGCAAAATGGTAATTAATGTATGAGATAGTGGCAAATTATATATAATTAATTTCTTGTTTTTGACTTTTATTTCCCCACATTCAGCATAGTTCTAGAAGCTCTCATATCACATCTTTTAAATAGTTTCCAGAATAGTTTTCAATTTGGTAAGCCTATTTCCAATTTCTTAAACTTATGCATAATCGTAATTATATTATTATTCAAGGGTAAATGATAAACACTATGTCGGCTTCTAGATCATTCGTTCATATTCATCTCGTGTCAGTGTTCCTTCAAAAAATTTCCCACGGTTCAATTAACTTTCAAAAAATTGAAGGAACTTATTAAAGAGGACATCAAAAATTCAGCAAAAAAATTCAAACCTGGGTTGGCTTAGTACGATTTTTTTTCTAATTCTGAACCAAAATTCCAGTTTTGTTGACATATCTTCTGTTATCGATTCAGCTATAAACATTAACATGGAGATTTGAATGGTTATCACCAGCTTAATCTGTGTAATAAATTGTTATTATCACCAAGTCAGACCCAAGCTTCAACAATGGTGAATTTCAAAGTTTTCTACCAAAAAGTTTTTTGATTCCGTAGGTAAATTTCAACTTCAAAAGACGACACCAAACAATTTTCAGCTACCAATTTCGCCTTTAGAGATTCCAACAGAGTGTCGAAATGCCTACCGACATGAAGCTTCTCAGTTTAGTTTCTAATGATTAACTTTCTAAGGTACACTTATTTAGCTATGTTGAAAGTGTTTAAATTAGATGCACTTACTGTTCTTTTAAGAACCTAATAACAGTATAAGTGAACTAACTCGAAGTTGATTAGTTTTCCTACATTGACAATCGATAATTCATGTATATATCAGAGTGAAGCCAAGAACAATCCAGGGCAAAGCTGTTAGCTGTAAATATCACAATAGGGCAAAGTTGTTAGCTGTAATTATGACAATGGTAATTATCTATGACTGATAACAACCACATACTCCTATTTCCTTTCCAACTACACTGCTTGAGCTTCCATTTGGTAATTGTCAGCTGCTTTTACTAAGCTTTTGTTTACTGTTTGTGCGAGTTGGGAATCTACAAAAATCTCTTTCTTCAATAAAATCAAATAGCAGATTGTCTTTATGGATAGAAAAGGAGATTGAGAAATTAATGATATTGTAAGTAAAATGAAGTTGAAAAGGATGATCTATTTACAGTCAGACTAATACTTTGAAAGAAAAAATCGATGACCAAAGACAAACCAAATGAGACCCCTTAACTGTTGAATTTGGAACTATGTAACAATTGTGATTGATATACATAAATGATATTATTTGATTTCGGCAGCTTAACTCTCAAGTCTGGCTATCAACAGATGATGTGCAGTTGACCATCTATAAGTAGGGGTAACATTGTGCACACATTACCCTTCGATTGAACAAAAAGACTCTTTCCTTTTTGTTCATTAGCATACAAGCACTTTGGTCAATCCAGCTACCATTGAAAGGATCACCTGATGAGATATCTCTTGCAGCAGCAAGGAAAGTTGTTTGACTATCCACAGAGAGACTAACATATTGTGTGTGAAATATGTAGGACTAAGCAGTCTTCGCACATATAAAGAAGGAGCCTACTTCGGATATAATGAAATGTGAATGCTAGGATTGTCAACACACTTTCTCAACTGTAAAGGACTACAATTTCCTAAATGTAGATAAAGTTTCATTTCATTTAAAAACAGTTTCTTTTATGAAACTAGAAATCCATATCGCAAGTTCATTACAAGTTCGAGGAGAAATGCTTGTATAGCTAGCAATAGTTTTTGACCTTAACCAAAGATACCATTGTATCAGGTTGTTGCCGGCCAAGAATAGATAGAATGGTTAATTGATAGTGATGAACTTTTGTATGAATAGCATGAAAGATACTGATATAAATAAAAGAAATTAACATGCTAATCGAACTTCCTTGGAATCATTTCCTAACCGATAGCTATATGAATAATAAAAATATTAGATGACATTCTCTTATACCTCCTCAGTTTATCAACAACTGAAAGAAAAATAATAATTAAAAGCATAGATAAAGAGTTTATTCAGAAAAAGTTGAACCATTTTCTCTTTGATTCACTATCAATGACTAAGAATATTGTTTTGATGGTCAGGTCCAGCAAAAACTATATGTTCTGTTTCTGTCTTCCACAGTCATATCATCTGGACCTCTTGCATTCTCTCAGATCCAGGCTTACTCTGGTTAGTGTTGGTTGAATTTTTGAAGTTCTTGCCTAATAATATCTATTGGTGTAGATACATGTGTTGTATAGATGTAAATCTCAATTCCTATATTGATCATTTGGAAGAAATTTTGGTGCATTTGATGCGAGAGAATAGGAAACAGTTGACAAGAGATATCAGAGGTTTTTCAGCGAGGAGTGTAGGAGTGTGACAGGTCCACTTGAGTTTAGTTCCAGCGAAAATGGTGAAAATACGTGTTAGATGTTGTATCTGATAGTGTTGGCCTTCTTCAATGAAGGAAAGAGTTCACAACAAAGGACTATAGTAATGTGGCGAAGCCTCGACTCCAACAGGTTTTTTAACCTTTTTCACAGGTCGGTTCTTTGTTGCTTTCTTTATTGTTCCTCTTCGTCGTGACTTTAATTTCTCTAATTTTGGGTCTCACAAGTATGCTTAAAATAGAAGAGTTTAACCTTGCTCCAATTTGTTGTGTAGACTACTTTTAACACTCCAATACTCCACATATTTAGGTAATACACAGAGGAGAGGTGAGTTAACTGTGAAAGAATTTTTTGATGTAGTTTGTCTGAAGGATTGTTTACTTCCTTTGTTTGTGTGGATTACATGGTGTAGAATATTTTTCAATGTTTCTTCCTAAGAAAGTATAGGTAGAGGAAGTTATGTTGGATGATCAAATAGCCAACAAATAAAGACTATAGAGAGGATATTAATGAATGAATTTGTCTTATGTTATCTGGTTTTTTATATAAATTGATTTCGTCTTTAAAATATTATCTTAATGGTGAAGGAAAAGAGAGAAATTAACATGGATGCACTTTTAAGAATGCAGAAACCCATGAAAGATGGGTGCAATAATGTACTTAAAGTAGAAAGGTCATAGAAATTATATCAGTTTACCATTGAAAAAAAATGTTTTAATGAGAAATGAAAACATGAAACCTTGCAAATGTTCAGTTGATAAAACTAATCAAATCACAAAGATAAAGAACAGTCAACTTTGTTCATACTTTTCAACTTCGTTGAAATTTGTCATTGTTATGTTCAAGGGACAGCAATTATTGAAACTTTTGATACATTTTAGATACTCCAATCTAGATTTTTCAAATGATATTTGAAAAGATTCATCAAATGAGCAACTGATGCAGCAAAGATATTTTTCAAATGATATTTGAAAAGATTCATCAAATGAGCAACTGATGCAGCAAAGATTTTTGATAATACGTCCAAAATAACCAAATAGTAATTCTTTGATGCTCTACAACTTGAAGCTAATTATTTTACTTCTCCCAATTTGATTTTATTATTTTAATTAGTTGAGTTGATAATGAGGGTTAATGTATGGATTCATGTGCTCCATACTTGCTATTTGAATTTGATCCACAACCAACATGGCCTCATCTCAATGATATCATTAGCAAGTATAGCAACTGTTGGGTTTTAAAGGTGTGAACAGGAAATGAAGGGTTGTGACTCTCCTGAAGAGTTGTGACTATGCCGAAGGGTTGTGAACTTTATGAAAGGTTGTGTTCTTTCTAAAGGTTTGTGACCGTTTGAAAGGTTATGCCTTTTCCAAAGTATTGTGACCTTTCTGAAAGGTTGTCTTCTTTTCAAAGGGTTGTGACCTTTACCCTTTGTTGGCTATAAATAGAGAGGTTTTCTCTCATTTTT